AGTAATTCGCAGGGAGTTTGGAGTCATCAGTAACTCTAGCTCTGAAACACACCTAGCTCCCTCCTCGTGGCTGTTTCTGATTAAGCTGAAAATTTCAGCAGGGGTTAGGGGAAGGCTGGGTGCGGTTCCCCCATCTGCTCCTTCCCTGCGTGTCTCAGTAGGCTGATGCCTTGCCGCCCCCTCTGCCACGCAAACGCTAAGTTCCAGAAACCAACACCGGAGAGTTTGTGGTGCTGATACGATTTTACTGAGTCATCTTCTGTTTCACTGACGTTTGAGATCAGTGACTTTTTCCCCAAACTGTCTGTACACAGTCTCATTGAAATGGGACTGTCTCTAGGGTGAAAGGAACTTGAAGGACTCACAACTGCTTAACAGGTATCCACACACCGGTGATGGGTACCAGGGAAAACCCCAGGGCAGCAAGGGCTGATGGAATAGTTGTTCCAGATGCCTGTGTGTCTCTTTTTCTTTTTTTGTTTTTTTTTCCTCCTTTTTTGTTTGTTTGGTTGGGGTTTTTTGTTTACATACAGGGACTGCTCTCCATCCATACCTGAAAGTTAGAAAACTAGACAGGTCTGCGGTTTGAATGTGCAGCTGTAGAGAATTTAGATGTTCCACATCTGCTCCTTAAGGACGTGTGTGGATGTGGGGTGTTTACAATGGAGGAGAGCAGCTCCAGGCTACCTCTGCTAAGTACATTTTAATGAAACAGTGTTGTAGCACAAATATAGGCAATTAGAGAAACGTGTGTGCAGTTGGTGTCCCTGTGATCCCTGCAAATCTCTGCTAAAACAAAAAGGAGTTGTTAGGAAGTGGCCATGAAGAGCATTTGACAAAGTACTGTAGTAGCCGCATCTTGAGCATCGCTAAGGATCACGGCAGCCTCCCAGGTATAGAGGAGGAGCTGGCTGCACATCTGTACCACTCTGGTGTTTCTGGCAGCAATGAGATAAAATTCATTTCAGAGCCACTCGCCTGTTTTACAGTTCATTGTTTTCACTTAATGCGTTGCAGTAAGTAGTGGTCAGTGTACTATTGCACTTCTGGCTTGCTAAGCTTCTTCTTAAGGCGTTGCTGTAATTTTCCACATTAGGTTCGGTTTCTATGATTTGTTCAGTAGTCTTCCTAAACATGAGTTGGAGTACAGGGGACTTGCCAGGAGACAGCAGCATGGCTGAAACCGTAGTCCATAGAGTTATTTTACTACGTATGAATCTATTAAGGATTTTGCAGTTTGGTGAGTAAATTTGGTGTTTGGGGAGCTTTACGTGACATGTAAATATACTATTGCTTATTCAAAGGTGAGAATTGAATAGGCAAGAACAGAAACACAGAGGATGCTTGGGCTGCCTCTGTCACCCCCATCCTGGTGTCAGTAGCGTGGAAATTACAACAGTGGGCAACTTAAATCCCCGTGAGACTTGTCCGTATAGACACAATACGGTATGGCATGTGCTCCCTGCCTTTGGTGGGGCAGCTTTTCTAGGAGGCTCTGCAGCTCACAGGATATTTTTTGTTGTGGCTCCTACGAGAGTGCCCCGGGCTCCACTAAATAGACAACCTCATTAAAAGAGAAATAGCGACAGCAGAGCAGTGACTTTCTCATGCCATCTCACTCACATATTTGACATGATTGCTGGACCCTCCAAGTACTTAATTGATTGACTTAATTGATTTAGTGGCACTGGAGGCTACAGCATGGAAATAAAGGGGCAAGATGAGGATAGGGGGTGAAGAAATTTATGATAGGTACCAAGCGACCTGAGGGAAATTAGAAATGCTACAGATCTCCGAGGCAGCTAAATCAATTCCATGTGATGTACAGGGAGCGACCTGGGGGAAGAGGAGAAGCGGGGCACAGAATGGAGACAAGGAGAGAAAATGATGGCTAGTGGGAGAGACCGGAGCAAACTGGAGGGGAAGAGGGAAAGCCAGCAGCCTTGGCAGAGGGGGTGCTTGGACTTCTTTAATGCCAGGAAAAAACTTTCTAATGTATGAATAAGATACAATCATGCCATCATGTTTAGCCTAAGAAGAAGGACTTGTGCATCGTGGGACTGTTGTAGTTATCTGGTTTGAGACTTTATCTGTGCTTGCATTTAAAATCCTTGATGTTTGCAACAGTGACTGAAGTCGCAGGAGACCTAAAATAATTTAGAAGCTATGTACAGTGGATTTTTTTTAACAACTGAAGCTTAAATGTTAAATTACTTTCTAATCCGTGTGATATTTAATTGGCTGTATTGAACCATATTACAAATTAAGCCTTCTCCATAATTTTTTTCTGTCGGACTGCAGCCTTCCAAAACAGTTTGATCCCTCACTTATGAATTGGTAAATGGCTCGTAGCGGTGCTCAGCGAAGACCCAGCAAAAACATCAAATGGTGTGTGATGGAATCCATCTGCATGTGCCACAAACATCCCTGAGTTATGAGATACTTCTTTGGTGTGTTTCTGACCCACTAGAGACAGGATTAAGTCATGGTAAAACCTTGAAGATGTTACAAAACTGAAAGAAAAAAAGGGGGCTGGGGTGAGAGAGGGGCAGATCAGCTTGTGAATAATAGCTGTTGAGCACTGACCAGCAGTTCTGCTAGAAGCAATTTTACGTGGTTTTTGTTTAATTTTCCTTTGGGACTGTTCATATTGAGTATCAAAAGGGTGGCTACACGTGAGCAGTTACAAATGGGGGGATAAAGATGCCATTTCTATTGCTTGGTCTCATTTGGTGGGACAGATTAATCTGTGTGAAGGCACCAGATGCAAATCTAATCAAAACATGCAAAATCTCTGTATTTATAGACAGCCTCAGTGGTAAGTAGATGGTGTTTCTCCTCGTGCTGTCCCTTCTGCTGTCCTTTATTGTGTGCGGGGTGCTGGGCAGGCTGCATCCTGCAAACAAAGATTTCCGGAAAGGATGGAGTTCTGATCTTGAATTTTGTGGTGGTAGTTCTCTACTGCCTGCAAGAGGAGTCTCATTTCTGCTTTGTGATGAGCAAAGAATCAGGCACTCGGTAAATAGTATTTGAAATGAAGTATTGGAATATGTAGAAAGGGCACATGAGATGAATCGAGGGCTGTGAAAGCACAGGTTGGAAGGAGTGCTTGTATCTATGTGTGAATACAGATGTGTGTATGCAACATTGCATTTAATGTCTGTTCCAACTCAGTATCCCTCAAACAAATGGAAAACTCTTGCTAAACGCTCCATATAGTAAAATATGTGAAAGGATAAAGTTGCAGTTACCTTTACTTAATTTGTACATCTATTGATACAGTATGTAAAATATCATCGCTATTAAAAATGTAATGATTTTCAAACAGTTAATGAAGGTTTCCAAATAAATTGGAGTGTCTCCATCTGCTGTCTTACATTGCGGGTGGTACTTTTCCATGGTAGAATGAGCTTCAAATTTAATTCCACGAGGAAGGAATCTGATCGCAGTTTAATTTCAGCGCAAAGCGCTCTCTCGCAATCAATAAAGCAATGTCAAGGAACTTTGATTTAATAGAAGCCACAGAAAACGTTCCCCGTCATATGCAGAATAGAGAGATGGGAACATTTCATTTCATTGTAACAGATAGCACGCAACGTGGTTTTCAGAAAAACCTAATAAGTCAATATCCCTGTATTATCTAAGTAAGATCCCATCATTAATTTTAAACGCTTAACACGTTGGGAGAGTCTGAAGCGCACCTTGGGCTTAGCGACGTTCAGCCTGAAGTCTTGCGAGCAAGCAATCTTGATCTTGGGGAGTTAGGAGTCATTTACTGCGAAATGAAAATGAAACATGTCCAGTCTTTTGTTTGATATGTAGTCATCTGTCTCTTGCGTTCTGCTTCTCCTTTTAAACTTCAGTCCGTGTTCTACACAAGTCTCATCACTTGTCACTTGCCCTGCACGCACTCAGCCTTTTTGCTTCTACGTACGCACATCCTCTCCGGTTTTGAATTTTAAAATGTTTGGTTTTTTTTTTTAAACACTAAAAATAACTGGTTGTTTAGAGATTGCCTGGATACCATGCTGATTTTCGAAATGTGCTTTTCTCAAAACCAGCAACTCAAAAGAATTCTTTGCGAGGCTTTGCCTGCTCTCGGAAATAGCGTTATCCCCAGATGATATAAGAGCAGGTCAATATATCAGAAGGTAGTAATTTGAAATAACAGATTGTTTTAGATAAATTTTATGAGGATATTATTTTAAGTAGAAATACATAAATATTATTCTGGTAATACAATAATACTTAGACCAAAGTGAGAAAGGTGCTAGCACTCCAAAGCATGCTTCTAGGAGACTCACATTCACGTCCTGGCTCTGGGGAGAGTTTTACTCGTGTGTTTAAACAGAAGTTGAGACTTTTTATTATTATCATTAAGCAAAGTGGGATTTTAAAGAAAACATGAACTTTTGCATTTAGCATTGATTTTGAGTTGGATAATTGCATTTCCATGAAGTTTTTGGGAAAAATACATTTTTGGAGTTCTGTTGTGCTCTAAATGGAACGTCACTTTCCGTCTGATGCCGAGTGTTGCGGAGATAAAGCAAGTCTGGTCCCGATTCTGGGAGAGACTGGCCATCTCGGCTCTAGCTCTGCAGCCCCTGCAGATCAGTCTGTCCTCTGAGTCGCCCTGGATGAAGCTACAGGGAGCTGCTGCTTCTCTTACATGCCTACAAATATTGATTCTGTACCTAGGATGCTGTGTAGGTAGGAACTAGGTGATATATTTTCTGTTGAATTCGATCTCACCAAAAGATACCAAGAAAAATATTCAATTGAAGCTTTTAGTGAAATTATTACAGCAAGTCAAGTTTGGCTAGAATTTGAAAAAAGAATAGGCTGAAAAAATTCAAATATTAACTGATTTTGATACCAGGTTGTATTTGTTTGTTTTAATTCCATAGGTGTGTTGAGATCTAGGTAAAGCACTGACAAAAGAGAAATTATACAGCTTTTTAGTAGAACATTTTGATGGATATTTCTCTATTTTTTAATAGCTACTACAGCACCACCATGCAGTTCATGAAATTTCATACATCGCAAAGGATATCACAGACCATCGAGCGTTTGGATATGTATGTGGAAAGGAGGGAAACCACAGATTTGTGGCAATAAAAACAGCCCAGGCAGTAAGTGTCCCATGACTGTCATTTTCTATGATGTAACTCAGCAGAAAAGCCATGTTCATAAGAAGCTGTTCAAAAGGCCAGTTTTGTATTGTGTATGATTGTCACAAGTGTCTGCTTAGGTGCTCTTAAATAGCAAATTAATGAAACCAGCTTGGGAAAAAATGGGATGTATTTTGCGATTTCCAATTTTTCATTATGTATTTTTTAATAATTATTTACTATTTTCCTTTCTAACTAAACTAGACTGGCTATAGATACGTTTGGTTATATTCCTGTACTCATCTAAATAGAAAGTAATAGATACCAAATAGCTACTTTGCATATAGTGTACTGCAATTTCATTGCATGAGAAACCCCTAATAAATATGCTTTTATATTCATATGTATGCCTTTTGTATTCATAATGCCTTTTATATTCCTAATGCGTTTATATTCATAATTATACTTATTAATTTGCACTTATAGTTTGTTCAATAGAAATTAACCCAAGCCTGGATGCTGGGCTACAAAATAATTCTCTGAGAAGTTCTCTCCCATAGTGGAGGTGCTATAACTGCTCTGTCAGCAGGGTGGAATAAGAGGTATATAATTTCCCATATAGAAACTTTCCTTCTTCTTTTTGCTTCCATAGGCTGAACCTGTAATTCTGGACTTGCGAGACCTGTTTCAGCTCATCTATGAACTGAAACAAAGGGAAGAAATGGAAAAAAAGGCACAAAAGGACAAACAGTGTGAACAAGCGGTATACCAGGTACACGCATAAGCTTAGACTACTGCCAAGAAAAATATGGTTTGAAGTATCCCCCAAAGTTGCTCCAAAGAGGCATTGAGCATCCTCAGCATTTCTTAACAGCAATGGGTTTGAACGGTGCTAGCTTCAAATGGACAAACACGAACCTAACAGCCATCGAGAGCTCAGACGTAGGATTAAACAGGGATGAAACTATCCCTTGGGGCATGATGAGCATGTGTAGCAACTGGAAATGATCTGTTCATTTCCCATGTAGTGTTTCTTCTAATTCAGGAGGAAAACTTTAATGAAGGTCAGTGTGTTGTAAGTCAGGTTTTTAAGTGTCTAATACTTTAGGGAAGATTCAATATACTTCTGAATGTGTGTTTTCGAATCAATCCACTAAGATGCAGATTGTTAAACTTGGATGAAACTTGAATAAAGTTACTTTGAACAATAATGTGACTTTATCTGTATGCTAAAGAAAGAACACTATATGCTTACCTGCCCGTTTTGCTTATTTCTTTGCTGTCCCTCAATTTCTTAAAACAGTTCTTTTATCTCTACTGTTTATGTTCTTTGCTTTTACTGCCTGTCCTCTTACTTTGCTGTAGACAATTTTGGAAGAAGATGTAGAAGATCCTGTATACCAGGTAATTTCTGAAGCTGTATGGCCTTGGAGTTTCAGAAATAACTAGATAATATGTTACCTTCAAACACAGCCAAAACCTTTAACAAGATGTTTTGAAATTTACTGAGATAGGTCTTCTGATAAATTTGTAAGATTTTTACAGAAAATAGCGTATTTAGAGATTAAGCTGTAAGTAATAGCACAATATGTCTATATAGAAATATTAGATTAAATATATCCTAAAATGTGGCTTGTGAGTCCAAAAGTTTCCAAATGAGAATTATCATAATTTTTTAATACAAAGTCTAACTGAAAGTGAGTTACTTTGAGAATAAGGAAGGTGACATCTTGTTCTGATAGTAATAAATTAACATTTTGGTTTTGGCTTATGTGGGGCCCGAACTTGTTCAGAGGGTGAATATTTGGGAAAAAAAAACAACAATGGAATTGATGTTATAACACACTCCCTTGTTGGCGTTTGGGCTATGATTTAATAATAGATCTGAAATTTAAGTCTTGTTTCATCCAAGCAAAATGTCTGGGAGCAAAGATGATTATCAGAAATATGTCATATATTCATGTCCGATACCCTACTGAGTGTGAAGAAGAAAAGGATGTAATTTCATTCTCATGTTTTTGTGCTGAAACAAAATATATGGTAGTTTTTCATTTTTTTTTCTTCCTGGAGATTTTGTGTTCTTCCACTTAGGCATGTCAGTGGGAGGCAGGCTGAAAGAAACTGATTCAACCATTAGTGAATATTGAATAGCGCCCAAGGTGCAGTAGGGAAGATAATAAGAATTAGGATGGCCTAAATTACTATTCAGCTTTTATAATGTCAGGAGTTTTACTTTGTGCTCTTCACAATAAAGTGAGAACTTGAAAATAAAAAGTGTTGTGACAGCCTTTTGCCATGTGGCCCGTTGCGTGAGCACCAGCCTATTCTCCCAGTTTGGATTTATTCATAGATAATAAATATGTGTGGAAATAATTGCCATTATGTAAAAGAGGCAAAATTCACGTTGACTTCAGAAAATTAATATTGGGCCACAAGCGGTCTCCCTAGTGAGAAAGAATTAGGAAGTTGCTCTAATGATCATTAGAGGAGATTTAGGTCTATTCGTTGCCGGTTAATGAAATATGAAACAACCTTACTCTGCGCTTTCCAACAAACATGTTGTCCTGCTGCCAGCCTGTACTTTGAACTTGTTTCTTTAATGCCTGCCTGTGTTTTTACGTGGAATTCCAAATCGCCTTTTTCCCTTCTGTTTCATCTTTGACTTTTCCTCTCTGGCGGCTGGTGTAATAGTACATTGTGTTTGAGGCTGGACACGAGCCAATCCGTGAGCCTGAAATGGAAGAAAACATTTATCAGGTATAAAATCGCTCACTTCGGTGTTTTCATTGCAATGATTTGCAAGCATTTAGTAAAGTACATTTCATATATGGTTCACTTTTGTTAGCTTTCATTCATCACAAAAACATCTGGCATCTCATTCCGATGACGACGTGAGTAATCCGCCCCGTCTCAGTGTGATTCTTCTGTTTGTCATTTCAGCTTCTGCAAATTTTATTGACTTTGTCAAGGGTCTTAAACTTTTGAGTACATCGTGTAAGATGATAAATAGTGGATTCTGTTTTTCTGTTAATTTTTTGAAACTTTTTACACCTATTCTAAGAAACAGATACTGAAATCTTACGGAGGACAGACCATCCAAGCAATTCTTAGAAAGACATTTTGGTGGCACTGCTCTTCTTTCTGGCTAACCAAGGAAAGAACTGACCAAAACCTAAGAGCTTTCAATGGGTATCCCTCAGATTTGGGAAAATATTTTCAGAGTGCGTATGTTATGTTAGAGCCCAAGCTTGCATTCTTCACGCTGACAAAAAATTGCATTGAAAGCAATATAAAATAATCTTTTGTCATTCAATTTATCCTCAAGGGATTGGTACAGGGTTTATTAAAATATAATGTGATTCATTTTGTGTCACGTACTAAAGGCAAATCTGGAGATAGAAATTTCTGTATGCTGTAAGAAAATTGTGATTTGAGGAAATCATTTAGTATGGAGGGGAAGAAGACTGGAGCAGTGATTAAACATTTCATCTAGCTGTACTAGAGGTTGATCTGCTAATAGGAAAAGCTTTTTTTAAGGTAGACGGGAGCAGGGATAGAACAAAACAAAACAAAAAAAAGAGGCATTTTTTTAAGTAATGAGGAAAGGTAGGAAAATAGTAGAAAAAAATGAAATGGTGGAGCAGCTGTGAGCCTAAATAGAAAGAAGCTAAGTGGGAAAGGGAAATGCAAGTTAAACATTAGAAAATAACCATCTCATAGATCCCATCACAGGGTCATTACTGTTGATTTCCCGGCGCTCCACCACCCAGACTTGAGTATGCATCTTTCTGCATCTCTACACCAAGACATGCCAAGCTCTCAAGGTCAGAGTATGCCTAAGGTTGAAAGTTTTCTACCACATAGTGTTGAAAGTTTGACTATTTTCAGGAAAGCAATCTGTTAAATAATCACTGCTCTAGTTGTCAGTTTTATGCTAGAAATAAAAATCCCATGGCAACTACCTTCCAACAAAAAAAATCTGATTGTTGTTCATCGAAGTGCGGAGCTTTTGGTGACATTGTAGAGAAGTACCAGCGGAAGCAAGCAAAATAGGGTCTTCTCTCCCAGTGTTTGGAGGTTTTAGAGCAAATGCCGGTGGGTAGGGAAGAAGTAGGAACCGTGTTCTGAGGAGTGGCCTAGAGGACAGGAGGACTCTCTGGACATTTTCTTTTTCTTAAAATGGAAGTAGTAGATGATAAGCAGTGAGGTCTTGCCTCACCTCGAAGTATTACTGTTACTGTCCTGTAAATCACCAGAGAATTGCTGAAGGCTTCATATGACAGTGTCTGGATGTGGTGAAGTTTTTTCTCCCACAGTGGTGCACAGAAAATACCTGTGATGCACAGTATGCCGTACTCTCAGGATATGCGATCTAGCATTGTCCTTCATTGTATTTACTACAGGCATAGGATTTGCTTGAATAAAGCAAATGCTGAAATTAGGGAGCTGTGAGTCTTTTTCTGTTATTATTGTAACTGACAGATGCTGACGCATTGCTGCCATAGACCTGCCCAGAGCCGCAGTTTCCTCGTTCCCATGCACTTTGTGAGCTCTTGGCTTGCTGTGAACCTGGGTTCCCACAGCTCGGATCTTACACTTGGATCACTGGCAAAATTGTTTCTCTTCCAAGATCTTGATGATCTCAGAACCATCCAGGTTGCTATTAAAAATGAAGTTGGAAGAGGTCCTCTTTTCTTTTTTGGGTTTGTTTTTTGTTGGGTTTTTTTTTAGTTTGATGCAAATTGGTGCCAGCTTCTATTATTTACTGCAAAGCCTTCCCCGTACTATACTTTGGTCAATATGTCTGTTCAGTAACATGATGTAGCCTCACTTCAGCCTTGCCAAATCTTTCTGCTGCTGCTGCTCTGATCTTTCAACCCAGAGCTGCTACACAAAGAATTCACTTCTCCCTTGGTGGAAAAGATTCTTGCCCAGTGGGTGACTACAGATGGAAGATAAGTGCCAAAAGTGACAATTTCTATTTCGTTTTAACATTGTAGAGGTCACAATTTTCTTTTTAAGCATTCTTTCTCTGTCTGTCACCTTTCTTTGATACATTACCGCAAAGGCTGTCTGTGTCTGTCTGTTCTTTTAATATTGTCTGTCGATAGAAGTTGCTCTAATGCGTTAGTTAGGCAAGGAGTTGATCACTGACCATGTACCAATCTTCTCACCTACTGTCAGACCTCTTAATAGCATCTCTTTTTCTGTCTGTTGTTTTATGGTAGTGAGGTGGGGAAGGGATTTAGTTACGTGGTTTTGTATTGTGTATGTAGCAGCGCTGGTCTCTATGGAGAGGCAAGTTCTGCTCCATCAGGAGTTGACAGGCTGAGATGGGGGGGGTTTGAGTTGCGGTGCTTGTATTGTGGGTAAGATGCAAGTATGTCAAAATGGTTCACAGCTGTCTCGGAGCCAGAGCTGTCAGCAGCAATAGTGCTGGTACCCCTTTGCTGATATTGCTAATAAAAAAAAAAACAGGAGAAATCCCTTGCAGACCTCCAGTCTATGCAGAGATGCAAAAAAGTGTGATGATACGCGGCAAGTAAAGATAGCAGGAAGTCAGGAGGTATCGAGTTGGCAGAGAAAAATGTCTTTCAGAAGAGTTTCTCTGTCTTGATATTAGAAGTCAGAAGCTTTTTTCTAATGTAATTGTAGGCTGGAGTAAGAGAGAGGGGATTGATAGTACAGGGGAACGCTCGTTCCATAATAAGCTCTGGAGAGGAATGTGCAAACTGGGATGACTTCATGGGGAAGTTGACTGATGGGGAAAGTTTCCACAGAGAAATGAAAAATAAGTGCTGCTGATAGTTTATAAATAATTTACCTTACCACATTTGGCTTCTCTTTATGAAAACTAAACTTTCCAGTGGCTTACTGAAGACACCATTCTTGTTTTCTGCTCTTGCACTGTCACTTAACAGCCTGTAAAAAGAGAGCACTTTATTTCCGTGAAATTGAATTGTTCCACTCCTACCAGTTTCACATTATGTAATGTCATAGGTGGTTTTAGTGGAAGAGAATACTTTGAGAAAACCAAGGCAAGCAAGTCATTCCTGGGATAGGAATAGAGGAGATCTTTTAAAAACCTTGTTCAATTTCTATGAGGGTTCTGCGCTCATGCTCTTCAAAAACTTCTGCAATGCACACCAAGTTAAAGACGCCCTGTTTCCCATGAAGACTTTGACATTTAAACATGGGCAAGATCATGTGTGAACAGTAGGGAGAGTTTCTGATATATTATACAGAATAAGAAATGATAGCACATCTCAGTGAATGAGTAACATTCTTTCACCTTCTGATAAGCCAGCCCTACTCTAATATCAAAACTCGTAAGATATTTCACAGAAGCATGGAAGAGTTTGGGTTGGAAGGGACCTTAAAGCCCATAGAGTTCCACCCCCTGCAATGGGCAGGGACACTTCCCACTAGCCCAGGTTGCCCAAAGCCTCATCCAGCCTGGCCTTGAACCCCTCCAGGGATGGGGCATCCACAGCTTCTCTGGGCAACCTGGGCCACTGCCTCACCACCTGCACAGGAAAAGTTCTTCCTATTATCTCATCTAAATCTCCCCTCTTTCAGCTTAAAACCGTTACCCCTCATCCTATCCCTATGCCCCCTGATCAAGAGTACAGTTAACAGACTTCAATTTTTCATCAAACTTCCTTGGATAATGACTCTAGTTTTCATTTTCTGTTGCAGGTTCCCACCAGCCAAAAGAAGGAAGGTGTTTATGATGTGCCAAAAAGTCAACCTGTAAGTGTAAGTATCTTCCCTATTTATATGCAGGAAAGCAGATGTGTTTCTTAGTTTCTGTGGCTTCCATTTTTGCATGTAGCATTTGGTACATTCCTCATGATGGGAATTTTATCAGTAATTTGTTGTTTGTCAGTGGGGTTGGTTCAGAGTAACCAGGATTGTAATGTCACTTATATCCATCTCGTTCATTACTTAAATCTCCTTTCTGCCTTTTCTGACTCATTCTTATGAAAGTCACCATTTATAAATGTGTTATCTGTTGTTAAGAGTCAACAATGAGCCTTCTGCATGTTAATGCATGAATCGTTGCTGCCTGGATGAGAAGGGTCCCTCTGTTACCCAGGGCTGTACAAGGCTTGTCACTCGGAGTGAGCGTGGGCTGAATTTTCTCCCCTGTGTGCTCCATTGGAACTGTACTTTATATATTGTGCTCGTTAAGCTTGGTTTAGTAGGACAGCAGGGAAGGCAAGGTCTGAATAGAGATGAGGTCGAGAGGAAAAGGTATGCCAGGACATTGTCTGTGACCTCTACGGTGATTTTTCGTGGCTATAATGTCTACACCTCTCAGAAGACTTGCTGGTGAATACAGTGTGCTGATGGGCAAAGATTTAATTAGGTGTTTTGAATTGTTACCAAAAAATGGGAATTTGAATTAGAATTACTTTTCTGTTATTTGGAAAAAAAGAAAAACCAACCAAACAAAAAAGTTACATCAAAATCCAGTCTAACATATACCATAGCAAAGCAATTATTTTTCCAGTAAAACCATCTTCTCTGGTAGGTTTGTAAGGGCTGTGGAGTTGCAGGGCAGAGGTACGTGCAATGGCCATTAGTTTGAACAGCGGTGGGAAGCTCTGAGAGGAACTACATCAAGATTAAGTGTGCGAGAAGACCTCACTCTACAAACTCCTGAGTGGAAGAATTTTTTCTCTATGTGTTGCATTGCTTTCCTGGTTATTGTGGGTTGTAATCAGCAGAAGGAGATTGCCTTCCAATATTGCCACGAATTATTTCTGTAGTGCTTCTAAGTATACAAGAGGCTAAGGGTCAATATAGACTGTCAACTTTAATTCTTTCTGTCCTGTGCCTTGAGCAGTAGACTATTGAAAAAAAGGGGTAATATGCTGTTGTATCCAAATGGCACCGTTCCCTTCCTGTGTATTTGCATTTTGAAGACATGAAGCTTTTACCCCCAGAATGTATCAGGAATGATAACAAATGGGTGAGAGAAGTGGAGTGACAGGTACCTTAGAACAAGGCATGCATTTGCTGAAGGGTGGGTTATACTCTTTGATATAAATTTGTTCTATAAATACCTCGAGAAATTGTTCCATTGCATTGGTTACGTGGAAAATTAATATTTCTGAGGATTTGTGTAAGAATGGAGAAAAACAAAGGAAAAGGTCAGGAGTTTGAGTCTGCTGTAAGCATGGGAGAAATGCCTGTATTCAAGACGGAGAAACTCCTTTCATGTAAGGATGTTGGTAACTTGCACAGCTTGGGCTGAGCACGGAGACTGAGATGCTGAATAAGGAAGATAAATGCTGGGGAGGGGCTGGATGGGGGCTTGAATTGTGACGCTTCTGTGGTTTGCACAAACAAACAAATCTTGCCATAAATATTTCATGATAAGCCACCAGGAGGGAGGCATCATCGTGTTGCCTGGGAAAATCTAGTAAAATACCTCATGTTGCATAACTAATGAAGGTATTTGCCAACAAGGAATAGCTGTAGATTTTTCACTTATTTCTCCTGTAGTTCAGTGTTTCAATTTTTCCCCTGTACATTTCCTGTGAGTTTTTTATTCTTCCTTCAGGAATGTTTCAGTGGGTATAGTCTGTAATTTAGGTCGTTGCAGTACGACTGGGTGGACAGTACACTTGCAATCATGTCTGCAGACACTTTGGTGTTAGACTGTCCTGGCAATGAGCATGACGGTGGGATATTTGGCATATGGAACCTACTCTGTAATCATCAAATATATTTAATCTGTCATCTTCATGAAGCTGCTTGCAGACTTTTTTTTTTTCTTTTGCTATTTCATGGTTAAATTTAAAGGGATTAAAGTTTTTTCTCCACACAAGTCATGTACTTTAATTTATGAAGAAAAAGAGGAGAATGAGAAGAGGAAGAAATATGTAGCTGAGATTTTTGTTTCACCTTTTTATTGGTATGCATTAAAAAAAAGCAGCAGCAATAGCTCTTAAAATTAGCAATTTAATATTCCACTGCCCATCTGATTTATTGCTCACCCTTCCACATCTGAGACTCTCTGTCATTGAGACACTTGCCATAATTTTTTTTTCAATTTATAGCTGTCATTATTATATAAACCCCTAAAATTCAGTCTGAGGGCAAATAATCTAGCTCATCTACCTGGTTTAAATGTATAAGGACACTTCCTTTATTAGGAGATCTTGCTTTCATTAATTTCATAATGGGTGAATAAAGTGAGAAACTTTTTGTAGCTCCTCATAGGTTTCAGGCACTATGAATTATCTCTCCTGACAATAAATACAACACTTAATAAAAATGCATCAAGTTTTGCTTGAGTTCAAAGGGAATTGCTCACGTTCCCTGGACAGAAATCGATTTTCCATTTTGGGATTGTTTTCCTCTGATATGTTCTCTGGCGAGTTATCTCTCGTCTCCGCACATAAAAGTGAGGGGTACTGAAGCAGTCATCTGGGTGCCCTCCACCCTTGACTCTCCGTAGCCAGTGGAGAGAAATAACCGCTTCACGGGGAAATTCCTCCTGTCTTCATGAGGTGTGCCACGCAGGTGGAAATGGATGGACGTCTGGGCATTGTTCTTTCGTGGCTGCAGAGGAACAGTATATGTGCATGGAGATGGCCGAGGTACTTACACGGTACTGTGCCATTGTGCGAGGCCATTTGTCAGAAGGTGTCAAAATACTTTATGGGATGGCTCCTCATGATCTCTGATACCAAGTGATGTAAATACGGTGCAAATGAGGCGGAAAGGAACGACTCTTGGATCTCGGAATTCGAACGTACCCACTGACCTCAATTATGAGCGGTGGCTGGTTGCCAGGTCCCTTCTCTGACATTGGGATGAAAAGGTTGCTTATTCGATATAATTCTTGTATTTCCCCATCTCTTTGCTGCTTCCCTTCCCAGCAAATCCTACTCTGCTGTAAGTTTCCTCTGCCAGGGATGCAGCTCAGCAAGCACACGCTTTTCATCATACCCAGTGTGCTCCCTTCCCCTGTATCAACTCACACTTCTTGTATTCATTCTTATTTTCTCTCTGCTCCTTCCTTAGGACAATTCTCTTATTCTCCATTCACTGAGAATAGGCGTCAAGCCAGACAAAAAAAGCAAGCTTACCCCAAAAACCTTGTGCTAAGTGGTACATACTCCACATAGAAATTGCAGTTCTGTATGTGAAATTAACTGTTCTAAAAAAAGTGAAATGTTCAATGAGCTCTTTTTGTCATAATTTCCCATCGTCTCCCCATTATACATCCACATCAAGTTCTACCTGTCACGGTTATTCTCCGTTCACTGAGAATAGACATCAAGCCAGACAAAGAAAGCAAGCTTACCCCAAAACCTTGTGCTAAGTGGGACACACTCCACGTAGAAATTGTAGTTCTGTATGTGAAATTAACTGTTCTAAAAAAAGTGAAGTGTTCAATGAGCTCTTTTTGTCATAATTTCCCATCGTCTCCCCATTATACATCCACATCAAGTTCTACCTGTCACGGTGTTTTTAGTAAGAAGAGTCAGACTGTAAATACCTTTCACGGAGACTGTCAGTCACGTCACAATAAAACCGTCTCTTCTCGTCAAAATGTCTGAACTATCTGCTTACAATTTTACGAAGGCTTTCGAACAACTCATCTTCCTGCTGTGTAAAGATTCAAGGCATGAGCGCTGACGCCGTACAATGCCGGCAGTCAGCTGGCTGGTACCGACTATGCGAGAAATATTAACAACCCAGGGTGGGATGGACAGGGGGTGATTTGGCTGCCCTGGGGACAAGACATGGGAGGAATGTTAGTTCCCTGATCCAGTGCTGTAATAACTAAATCCGTCTTTGTATTCTTTTGTTTGTCTTTCTATAATTTTTTCCTTTTTTTTTTTTTTTTAAAGCTGTTTTATCAAGGAATATTTTGTGCTTTACTCCTTAATAAAAATTCTAGTGGCACAGGAAGCAGAAAGCAGGTCCTCCTCCCTAATCTCCTGTATTATAGCCTCTGAAGCATAAAGTGATGAAGTTTCTTCATGTGTGCTATATACATGGTTTATGTAGGTTTGATCACCTGGCTCAAAGTTGGGGCTATTTCAGCTGATTCTTGAAAAATTGTTCTTGCAATGCCTAGTAGAACAAGAACATTCAAAAGGCTGTTAACCTGGATTCAGAGTCTGATTTCCAACAATCCGGAGGGTTAGATGTTAGAATTAATCCGTTGTTAATGTATAAACCATTTAAGATGATGAATCTCAATCTCAATCTGGATAGTTTCTGAACATTGAAAATATGCCCATGGAAGCTGCTGGTTTCAGTCCATCCATAATTTTGTATCTAGCATGTCAAACAGTGGGGTTTAATAGTGTAGGAATACTGTTTCACAGATAAGAATAAAATGTCCTGATTTAGTTGTGCTTTTATGTTGTATTGATATTGTGGGCCACATCTTGAGCTCTTTTTAATCCCAAAGAGTTCTCTTGCTAGCAGGCTTTCCATTCCTGCCTTTGTGATACTGTTCCCTGAATGTGATCCTCAGCCCCGCACCTCCAGCAGAATGATTACATGCTCTCAAAGCATTGAATTTACTTTACTTCCTAGTGCAGTTCTTTAGGATGTTGGGAGATAATCCCATAGCGTGGGAAGGCTGTAATCCAGCAGCACAGCCCAGGATCAATCTGTCATTGTTCTCTCTCTGTTTGTCCGGTCCAAACAGCAGGAAACAAGGAAGCAAACAAAAGCTGCAGGTTGTGCCCTGGTGACACAGTTATCTTGTTGGATGGAGGTGA